CCACCCCCCACTTTTCTGTATTAAAACACGTATTGACAAAACTATTTTTTTCACATATTACAGGATGGCAATCCTAGACTTTCGTGCTTTGGTTTGATGAAGAATAGTAGAGATGGAAAAAGCTACAGTACAAACTTGGCGTTTACTCCTCCTGAGTATTTAAGGACAGGTATCACGCAAACTCTCGACAAGTATCAAAGTTTGAAATTATTTTTAATGCATTATTATCATGTAACAACGTAGTTCGTATTTCGCTCTCTCTCTCTCTCTGTTCTTTTTTTTTTTTTTTTTTTTTTTTTTTTTTTTTTTTTTTTTTTTCTTTTTTCTTTTTGTGTGTAGTGGTATCTGCTTACTCTATTTATCTTGTAGTACCATTTTCATGCTTCCTATGTGTAGTTTGGATGTTTGTATCCCTATTTTTAATTAGCAGGTTAACATTGTTGGCCATTTATTATTTTGTGTTCACGTGTGCTGTTACACGTGCTGAAATTGTTTTTGTTGGCCGGAAAATCTTAGTCGCTGCAGCTTAGTTTAATGGGACCATAACTGTTATAACTTGTAATTCACATTAGAGAAATACTTAAATCTTGTATTGAGAGTCAAATGAGAAATCAATGTGTTATGTTTCGTTTGGTCACTGCATCTAAGTTTATTCTCAAAAGATCACCGTTGAAGTTTCTGTATGGGTCTTTTCCCCCGTGGTTCTGTTGATTGACTTTGTTTTATGTCTCATGCAGATTATGTATGTTATATCTAAGAGTATCAAATATTATGTTTGGTGTTATATGAACTTTGAATGCCATTGGATGTGATTTTGCTAACTGATTACTTCGGACTTTAATGTTTTTCAGGAAGAGTCACCCCAGAAAGTGTAATTTACAGCTTCGGAACACTTTTGCTTGACCTGCTCAGTGGGAAACACATTCCACCCAGCCATGTGAGCAATCCTTACGCTAACTCCTGGAAATTACAGGAGTAATTCTCTTGGTAGTCTGTAAAAATTATATCATGAGAAATATGTTGTTAATAAGCCAAAGGAGATGTTTTTTTGGCCGATGCTTATTTCCCAGATACCGTCATTGGTTTTAATCCGCCTTAATACCTTTCCTTTATACGATAGTGGAAGAGAATCGATTATCATGTTTTGTGGTCGAATACATGTCATCTGCCTCAACATTAGGAGTCGATGTACATTGGTTGAATATTATTGGTCACTTTCATATTCTTGGCGTCTGTTGTTTTTATTCTCCACCTTCACCTTAAGGTTTTGCCTTTTTCTTGTCTGTAGAATCTTCAAACATCTGATCTGTGATGTGCCTCAAGTGTCATAGAATCTGATTTTGTTCAACACTATTACTTCATATCTGATGGCTATTAGTTCAGAAAAGTAGTGATGCAGCTTTATTGAATAATACATACTGACACACTAGTTTTCATTTGACTTGTACAGGCCCTTGATTTGATAAAGGATCGGAATCTCCAAATGTTGACTGATTCTTGCTTGGAAGGTCAATTTTCCATTGATGATGGGACTGAGTTAGTTCGTCTTGCTTCAAGATGTTTACAGTATGAACCACGTGAGAGACCAAATCCAAAATCCGTAGTTTCTGCATTGATTCCTCTTCAGAAGGAAACTGAGGTTCGTACTTGTGGAAAAAGAAATTTTCTTTTATATGATGAAGCTATAAAGTAATTTACACACTTCACACCCCTCTTTTACCCCTTTGGTTTATTTTTCCATACTCTTCTTCCTTTTCAGTTGCATCAGACTATCCAGGGAGATGTAGTGTTGCTTAGTAGACATATGGACACCATTTTCTGGTATCATTTTTTGGACTTCTTTTTCAGGTACCTTCTCACATTTTAATGGGCATTCCTCATGGTGGAGAGATTTTATCTCTGTCTCCTCTCGGTGAAGCATGCCTTAGAAAGGACTTAACTGCCATACACGAGATTTTGGAAAAACTTGGATACAAAGATGACGAGGGAGCCACGACTGAGGTTCTTTTATTGTCTTGTCTTGTCTTGTCTTATCTTGCTCTCTAGTCCTAATCCTAGCTTTGTTATATATTTATGGTTAAATTTTACGTTATATACTATTTAATCGTTGTCTAAAGAAGGAACTCTCGTGTCTTATGAGTTATGCCATAGTACATTTGTTCAATCTTGTTTTGAAGCCGTGCGAGAATTATGGCCTACCAATAACTAATAGGTTGAATTCTGCAGCTTTCATTCCAGATGTGGACGAATCAAATGCAGGACACATTGAACTCTAAGAAGAAGGGAGATTTGGCTTTCCGGCATAAAGATTTCAGGGTGGCCATTGATTGCTACGCACAGGTTTTAACTAGTGCTATTTTTCTTACTAAAAGAAAAAATACTCCCTAAATTTCTGTTATCCAGTTCCGAATGTTAAAATTACAATAACCTCCAAGTTAAATAAAAACTACCACTAAGGAAATAATTTGACCGGTGGTAGTGTAAATTGTAATATACGAGAGAACCATTTTTCTCCTTTCCTTTTCCTTTATTTAATAAGTTTGAAATCCAGTGATAAATCACAGATATCTGTAGAAAGATTTAACCCATAATTATGTCTGTCTTTTGTGCAGTTTATCGAAGTTGGAACAATGGTGTCCCCGACAATTTATGCCCGTCGTAGTTTGTCGTATCTCATGAGTGACATGCCTCAGGAGGCCCTCAATGATGCCGTCCAAGCACAGGTCATATCCCCCGTTTGGCATATTGCTTCATATTTGCAAGCATCTGCCCTCTTTGCTTTGGGGAGGGAAAACGAGGCTCAAATTGCGCTCAAAGAAGGTTCCATTCTCGAGGAAAAGAAGAACACAACCACTTCCTGAGAGGCCATCCTGTCCAGGACAAGTGTATACAATCACAAAAAAAAAAAATAAGAATATCTTCTCGTGGATCGAGGGCAAGATGATGACCACAAGTCTCTACAACTCTGAAAGAAAAAAAAAAAAAAAAGAAACATTTTATATCGGCTGTTGCAGGTGGGATGTAATTGTCGTCGGCTTGAAGCATTAAGAAGACACTTCTTTTGCCCTCTTTGTGTTGCCTTACGAGTTTGCGCTTTGCGGCAGTTGACTTTAGGTAAAATATGATTTGGGGGAAACAAAAGAATATCATTATCTCATGTTGATTAAAAAAACTAAGGATTGTTTTGGGGAGGGTTGTGGGAAGAAGCTTGCCATACAGTAATTTGTGTACAGTGCTATATATGGCTTTACTCATTTGAGATTGGTTTTTCTTCTCTTTTAATTTTCCCCTTATTGTCTGTATTTGGTCACTATATGTTGATGCTTTGTAATTGGCTAAGTCTGGGAATTGAGTGATTGAATTGGTTTGCATGCATTGTTTCACATGAACAGTGAATGAATTGGTAGGATTTGAGAAATAATTGTTGTTTACAAGCGTTTTTGTCATTTCTAGTCCTCTGGTTTTCCCATTTGCTTCTTGAATGACCACGACATTTAAACGAATCAAATCAAGGAAAATGTTACGGTTTCGTTACGGAACTATTTTGTCGTAGTTTATAACCGTTGGATCATTATGTAACCGTCGATAATAGTTGATCTAACGGTTGACAAACCCCGACGGAATGGTTTCGTAAGGGGACCGTAGCATTCACGGTCCAGTTACGGAATATTCCGCCGGCACAATGCATTTAGACTTTCCTCACGAAGTTGCTTTCTCAACTTCACAGCAACTGTCAAGTTGTAATATATATATTAACTTCACAGCAACTGCCAAGTTGTAATATATATATATTCGCAAAACTTGGTCTAACCTGCATTTCCCCTTCCATTGTAAGAAGATGTTTAGTCAAATGTTCCTACTCACAAGCTGTAATAACGCTGACTTAACCCATGTAGAAAAAACAAAACCAAAGAGAAAGAGAAGAAAACTTGGTAGTTGACTTTTTGAATCCTTATGCAAACGCACCTGACATCCCTAAGAACAAGAAAAACTCGAAACCCAAGAACAGGAATCATCAATGGAAATCCCAGCCTGGTGGTACTTCTGGTTCTGGCCGCTCATCAGCATCACATTCCTACATCTCGGCCTCGACTCCTTGGACAGAACCGACCTCTCCGACTCTGTCCACCCGGCCTTCATGGCCCTGCTAAAGCACTCCCTAGCCACCTCCACCTGCTGCTCTTCCACTTTTGCCCTCATCCTCCGCGCCCGACTCAAAATCCCAGTCGAGAGCCGCTACTTCTGGACATTCACCGCCCTCGTCTGCCTTGCCGCCAAGTACTCCTACACCCCGGCCGACGAAGCCGAATTCGGAAATGCCTTCCTGTGCGGGCCCGCCCTATCCGCCACACTCCTCCTAGCGGCCCGCCTCCGTTTTTTCCCGCCCCTGATTAAAACCCTGGCCAGCCGGTACTCGATACTTGTGTCCATCATGTTCTTGTCGGGCGAACTATTCCCATGGTACTTGCATATTTTCACCATCCTCAACTTCTTGCTCATCATCGCTGCCGACTACTACTTGACGGCCAACGGAAACATAAACATGGGGATTCACATGACCGTGGAGTCTTCTCTGTTTCTGGTAAGCGGGGAAAAGACGACGTTCTACCCACTGGCGGTGATGTTCGTCTCGTACTTCATTTCAGGCCTGTACGCAGGGGTCCTCGGGCTTGAGCCCTTCACGGCCATGTCAGGGGAGGAGGGCCCCACAGACGTTTGCTTCCTGGAGCTGGTGCCATTGGCTGAGAAGGGCTCGCGGGCTTTAACGGCGTTTATGGGGAGGAGGATCGGGAGGTTGGCCAGGTTCGGGGTGGGGATGGTGGGGACCATCTTATTCCAGAATTTTTTCAGGCTGACAACGTTTGGGCATGTGGTGGCGTTTCTGTATCTGGCCGTGGCATGGGTGGCCAACCTGGCATGTGTGGGCGTCAAGGACGATTTCGGCATTTTAAATTTTCTGATCGGGAATGTGATCGTGGGTTGCACGGTGAATCAGTTCGGGCTTCACGGGACGACTTGGGTAGCGTACGGGGCGTCTCTTGTTCTGTACGGCGTGCGTCTCAGTCTTGAGTCGGTGAGGTTTGAGTCGAGGGAAGGTCTGCAAGTTGTGCAATTCTCTTTAGGGTAGAAATATAGAGGATGAATAAATGCTTTTGCCTTTCTCTTCATTCAAATTTGTGTAGCCGTTCCTACCATTTGACCTATCTGCCACAATGTGATGCTGACATTTTTGCGGGGACTCTCCCCAAACCAGGATATGTTATTTTTGTGTTTATCGCTACAGTTGTCAGCTTTTCCTAGTATCTTTTCTTGCTTTTGTTTTTAGCTTTTTGTTTGACCTTATGTATATCAGACATTGAACTTGTAGCCTTATGACTTTTTTCAGTCAATTTAGGATATTTTTTATATACACGTTGGGGTTCGGCCTTAACCCCACTTATTAGGTGTTGTTTGTTTGGAAAAAAAAATAAAAATAAATGTTCCTACTCCGCAAGCTGTAACGCAGACTTAACCCATATAGAAAACAAAACCCGAAGAGTAAGAGAAAGAAAACTTGATAGTTGACTCTTGAATCTTATGCAAACACATCAAACTTCCCAAAGAAGAAGAAAGAAGCCTAAAACCGGGGAATATCAATGAAGATCCCAGCTTGGTTGTACTTGTGGTTCTGGCCCCTCGTCAGCATCACATTCCTACACCTCGGCCTGCACTCCTTGGACAGAACCGACCTTTCCGACTCTGTCCACCCGGCCATCATGTCCCTCCTCAAGCACTCCCTAGCCATCTCCACCTGCTGCTCTTCCACTTTTGCCCTCGCTCTCGGTGCCCGCCTCAAGATCCCCGTCGAACACCGCTACTTGTTGACGTTCACTTCCCTCATCAGCCTTGCCGCCAAGTACTCCTACAACCCGGCTGACTACTCCGTAATCATTGCCTTCCTGTATGGGCTCGCCCTATCCGCCACACTTTTCCTCTTGCCTCCCCTCGGTTTTTTCCCACGACTGACTAAAATCCTGGCTAGCTGGTACTCGATACTCGTGTGCATCATGTTCTTGTCGTATGAACTATTCCCCCGCTACTTGTATCTTTTCACCATCCTCAGCTTCTTTCTCAATGCCACTGCCGACTACTACTTGACAGCCAATGTAAACATAAACATGGGGATTCATAGGATGGTGGAGTCTTCCCTGTTTCTGGTGAGCAGGGAAAAGACGAAGTTC